ACAAAACACCCACCACAAAAGCAAGAGCAGTTCTAAATTCAGATCCCATGGACGGTCATCCTCCCAGCGACGACCACGATCGCGATCACGATCATCATTCCAGCCACGGCCGCGCTCATACCCCGACGAAGAGGAAGCCTGCGACCACCGACCGCCACCGCCTGCGCCTTCGGATCCGGGCCACCACGAACCATAGCCTGGAATCACGAATGGGGAACCCTGTAAACCCTAAGCCCTAAGTCCTATACAACCCTCCAAACATAAACCCTGAAACTACAAAGTATTCGTGACCATGTTCAAGCAACGCTTCTTGATCTCATCCATGCGTTCGTTCACAAATTTCGTAATCACCTTGCTCGCATTCTCCCAAGGAAGTCTGCGGCGGGAGTCCCGGCATTCTTAGCAAGGAGATAACATGATCAGGAAAAAACCCTAAGCCCTACACACCCTTGACCCTAAATACCTGACTTAACTAGACCCCAAAGACAACATTACACATGAGGGCAGGCCGCTCTCTGCGTAGGACACGATTTCCATGGCGCGGCTGATTCCATCTCCCTCCTTGTGCGAGATGAGCGACGACATCAACTTGGCTGTCCAAAATACAGCTTATCTTAAGTTTAGCTTAGGGCTCAAGGTTTAGGGAAGGCTCATGCCTTCGATTATCAGTGCGTATGTGCAAAATCAAACCACGCAACCAAATTGGAATCCTATACTAAAATTCGTTTATGGTTTAGGGAGGGTTTAGATTATCATTTTACCCCCCACAACTACAACATGCAACCAAGTTGAAGGCCTGCCTTAAAATTAGTTTAGGGCTTAGGGTGTAGGGCTTAGGGCGGCCTGAGATTACCCATGTATACATGCAAAATTACAACACGCAGCCAAGTTGAAAGCCTATCATAGGGTTTAGTGTTTAGGGAGGGTTTTATGGTTTTCATTGATCATGATTTGTCAATGTGCGTGTAACAACATGTCAACATGCAGCCAAGTTGAAAGCCTATCTTAAATTTAGTATAGGGTTTAGGGTTTAGGGAGGGTTTGTGGTTTTGGTTGATCATGATTTGTCAATATGCGCCATTTTGGATCCCAAGCCCAGACCTGTCAACAACACCAAAAAAAGCTGAAAATGTGGGTGACCCAAACCCCCGCTTTCGAGCCGAGAATGGGGGTTTGGGTAGGCCAAAATGGGGAGGATCACACGGTTTTGGTTTTAGGACCACCGGAAAAGGGGGTTAATAGGGCCGAAGATGAGGTGGTTTTGGTTAAGGCACCGCCACATGGAGGTCAGCAAAGCCAAAAT